TCCATAATTCATAGATATTTCTCAGCAGAAATCAGATGTCTGGCAGATATTTATTGTATCGGTGCAAATTTCTATTCACAGACGTCCTCACCAACATTTATAGATATTTACAGAATTTCTAGATGATTTCAGTAACATTTTAGGTTAGGGCTTGCAAATTCCATGTGAATTCTGAAAATTCTAGCCAAGACTGATGCCTATTAATGGTTAATAACATCTTAACAAAACTCAGATTGTTCTCATATGTAAATTTTATTGACAAAATAGTGTTATTAGGTTGCTTACTATGCATTTAGAATGCCTCATTTGCAGTCCCTAATCCAAAATGCATCTCCAGGACTTTTTAAAACCTATTTTTTTCATTTTCCAGATTTAACCGATGACTTGAGTGTAGAAACACCTAGGACAGGTCCCAATTCTCCCAAGAAGCAAACATTATTAAAGAAGAATTTAATGAAGGACAACAGATCAGGTTAGATACGTGCCTTTTGGTCAAGCACTGCATCATGCAGTGATGCTTGTCTGTTTTACTCCTCTCATTAGTGCCTGAGCTTAGCCAATTTTCTGATGCTGTAAGGGTTCTTCTGCTGATTAGAGACATGATTGCGAGAGGGGCTTTTGGGCTATTATTGGGCACAGAATCTAAGCTCAACTACAAACCACACAGGACCTGGTATTTTGTAATGAAAAATGTAACTCAGATTTATTGCATTTATGTGAAGCACATATTGAAACGGAACAAGATTTAATCATGTAAAATTAATCTACAGTATATCTTCATATACTGAACTGAGCTTATGGAATTGCTTTATATTGGGAATGTTCTAGTATTGGGCTGTATCATCAATCCTAACTGCTGAATTATCACCATAGGTAAGCATTTTCAGTTTGAAATGTAAGGCTTCCTTCCTATGGTAGTTAGCATGTAGAACAACATCTGATAAAAAAAACAGAAGTACCAAATGACCTTACACAATCTAAATATTATTAACATTAGCTGTCAATTTATTTATTAATCCATTGAAATGTTTTTTCTAACCCACCCCTTTCCAAGGAAAGTTGATCATCTTATCATTTCAATATTTATTTCTTTGGGGTTCTATAACAAAAGAGAAAATTGAACTTGAAATACTTAATTTAACCTAGCAGAAGAACTCCCATGCTATATAGGATAATCAATTAGTCTGATTGTATTTGTTATTTTCTGCCATACTAAAGCATGCATTTATTTGTTGATGTCTAAATAGTGCAGTTCTTTCTTGTTTGCCCAAATTTCAAATAAAATGTGTTAAAAGTGTTACACAATAACACTGAGACTGACGGCAGTGGATGCTTTCTCCATGAAGTCATCTGTTGACGGAGAGTATCTGCGTTGTGAGGTCATCAACAAACAGGTTGTTTATTGTTGTGTGTCTTGCAATGTTACCTGTGCCTGTCAAATATACTAGGTTTTCCTCCCCTTGGTAATTTTATTTGAGATAAAAAATCAGTTCTTACTTTTGGACTTGTGTTCAACCTCTCTATCAAAACCTTTTACAATGGGCAAATAATTATATGAACTGTATATTTCTGTGTTTTAATATGTGTTTTATATTCAGTTTGCAAAGGGTGTTTAAAGCAAAGATGTGCAAAAACATTAGACTGCGTAAGATGCTTTGTTTTATGAAACTGAATGACTTCTAAAAAACAATGATACAATACTACAGGAGATTCTACCATAAGATCTTTACTCAGTGCTGCAAAGCTGAACTGTGATAGGATGAGAATGAGCCTACTAGATGTTTTTGACCACATTAATATATCATCACTTTAGTAGTTTAAGTCCTTTAAAGTTGAATGTGCACCTTTGCTCTTATCCTGCCAATCCTTTGTTGTGTTGTGTTTTGTTTTGCCTTTGCTTGTGCTGTGCTTGTGCTGGGCTGTGCTGTGCTGTGCTGGGCGGTCTGTAGAGCTGGTTGAGGAGGCGTACAGAGAAGCCCTGGAGCTGCACAAGGAGAGGCTGAGAGAGGTGAAAGCGCAGACCCAGGCCCTGGCTGCTGAGAAGCAGGCCCTGGCGCGGCAGTGTCAGGAGCAGGGCGAGGGGCTGCAGGCGGCGCAGCTCGCGCTGGAGCAGCTGAAGCAGCAGAACAGGAAGCTGCGGGCGGCGCGCGAGAAGAGCCCCCGGCAAGGTGGGAGCCGTGCCTGCGGAGCCCCCCGTCAGGCTGGGGTCCTGCACCTGCCTGTTCCCCGTCCATAACTGTTCACTTCACGCCTCGACTTCAGGCTTCTGCACGGTCTTCGTCCAGTGATATACTGAGTGTCAGAAAAAACACCACTTACATCTCCAGCAAATTCTCCAGCTCCAACTTAAAATCAGGAAAAGACCAGTCTTCTGTTTTTTTTTTTGCAGCTCACTGACATTTTACTGAGCAGACACGAAAAAGGCACAGTTCCTTATTCTGATTCAGTAGTGGAATTTGACAATTGTAGGCCCCAGTACACATATTTCGAAAACTGACAGAGACTTCAGTTTATGCCTCCTGTCTTTTTTTAATTAGCCTATTTAAATACCACAATCAATATATTTCCCACAGACATTTGCACAGTCATTCATCTAAGTCTTACTTAAATAAGTTAATTAAGTTTTAATTAAATTTTCCATCCATACAGCTCCAGTTCTAACCCAGACCTTAATCAGATTCTTAAAAAAAAAACTTTAGCACTGAGGAAATTACAAGAGAGTTTTAGGAAGGTCTCAGATATTCTATATTAGTGGCATAAATACAAGTGACTCACAGAAAATTAAATTTTTTTATTAATAGTGGGACCATACTTGTAGATGTAGGAGGGTCCTCTAAGGTGGATCTTGATGTAGCTTGCATCAGGTGAGCCCCTGCAGCTGCACCAGTGTCCTGATTTACATTAATCATCATTAATCATGACCTACAGGGTGGGTCATCTGTGTGACAGGCTGGTCGTGTGCTGCCCCTGCTGGAAGCAATATCGGCTGTACATCTCTGCCTTGGGCTGTGCATGAGGCTGCAGATGCTGTGGGTTTCTTCCCATTCCTTCCAAAACCCTGGGCACACACGTGCCTGTTCACTAGTCTATAGGTATCACACATGCTCCCAACTCATCGGGCAAATATCCTGCTGGTCTCAGGTCGGGCAGGTAGGGCAGCCACAGCATGTCAATCGCTGTTATTGAGCAGTGTGAGGATGTCTGGAATGGTCCCAGGCCTTCATCAATGTAGAGCCAGCCTGTCGGTTTGCCATCAATCACTGCAAGTGGAGTTCTGCAGCAACTAGACACTCCTGACCATGCCATCACATTTTGACCTCCCCATTGATCTTGGTGAGGTGCCAAACCTTGTGGTATCTCAGATTATACGATTGATGGACTGTGTTTGGTTGAAACATCTTGCCAGGTAAAGAATTGCTGGCCATGAACACCTATTGATCAGCAGTGCACAGGTTTAGTCCAGCCTCCAATACACTAAACACATCCTTCTCTGGATAAGGACAATATGTGGGAGCTTGTCTGTGCTTTTCCTTCTGGTCTCAAAATCACTCAAGTGTGTCTTAGTTTGTAATAAATGATCAGTTTATAAAAAAAACGCCCCCCAGAACATTTAATCAAAACGTGTGTGAATAGATTGATGTTTATTTTGGTGCTCAGTGTGACGTTATTCATCCCAAAACTAAGGCAGAAGTGGTTGGAGGCCTGTAAATAAAGGCAGTGATTTGCCAACCCCTCTGGGTGTCCTTCTTCTGCTTTTGTAGTTTGTCTTGGATCTTTGAAATGTGTCGAGTTTAATATTCCTCAAGCTGAGATGCTCAGAAGTTAATTCAAATTTATTGTCTATAAAAAGACTGATAACAGAGATAGCAATCTTATCTTGTCCATTACGCCCTGCATACAACCAAAGAGATCATAAAAATGTATATATATAATTTACAAAAACATGGTGGCATCCTGTGAGAATTTCAGATAATAATATCAGAATGTAGAAAGTTGTTTTAACCATTAGAATCTCTTTCCTCTTGTACACCAGCTGTGTCCTTGTACATAGTTGTTTTTTAACATGTTGACCCAGAACCAGCTCTGGGATCCTGATGGTCTTCTGGTACGACTTGTTTTTTCCAGAAGTGGCTGAACTGCTGTCTCTCAGACAACAGGCCCAGGAGCTGGTTGATGAAAATGATGGGCTGAAAGTGACTGTCCATCGGCTGAATGTGGAGCTGAGTCGCTATCAGGCAAAGTTCAGACCGCTGTCCAAAGCTGAGGTAAAAAATCTCCATTGATTTAAAAGAGATGGAGATAAAAAGCACTAAAATGTGGTAATTGTGTGCTTTGTGAGTGAGTGTTTAATGAGCTGTCCAATAATGCTTTTCCACTCGAATCAACCTTTAAAGTTGTGGTCTGTTTTTAATCCTAAAAACCATATAAACAAATACTTCAGTTTGAATATCGGGATATGTTTTTGAATCCCAGCCACCCAAAAAAATGAGCTGGAGTTTTTGTGGGTGCCATGGTGGTGCAGTGATTAGCATCACTGCCTTACAGTTCAATTCCAGACCTGACCAGTAAACATACTAGTAGGTTCATTGGCTTCAGGGACATCTGGCCCTGGTGTGAGTGTGTGTGTGTCTGTCCTATGATGCACTGGTGTCTTGTCCAGGGTGTACCCTGCCTTGTGCCCATTGCTTGCCAGGATAGGCTCTGGATCCCCAGCATCCCTGAATTGGAAGAAGTAATAGAAAATGGTTGGGTGGATAGAATTAACAGGTTACTAGTGTTCAGGTTTACAATTTGAAGAATGAAGTTCACAACAGTGGTCCCTATACTAGAGGTGAAGTTATTTTGCATTTAAAATGTCTTGAAACTGGGAACATTACGTTTTGGCATTTTAATACCGTGATAATTGCTTTAAGGTAGCCGCCCTTTACAAGCTTACAGACAGCCATGACTTATTCAAAATACCAAAATTAAGGATGTCTGTCGCTTTATCTATTTCTGAGACTATGATTTCCTAATGACTTGAAGATTTTGGGAGTAAGATTGTAAAGTGTAATTACAGTAAAAGACTGAAAGTAAATGACTCCATGGAGCAGGGGAATTTGAAGTTAATTTCTTTCTTGTTATCAAGCACTGAGACAACCTGGCTTTGTGCTCTTGAGTTGTCTGGCTGGGGCTGCAAAGAAATATTAACTGACAAAACCTTAATGAAATTCTGCTTTCAGCTTTCATCTTGCAGTGGTGTTTAATGCATTATAGATGATAGTTCAGCTCACATTATAATTTCAAAGCAGCATTAACTTCAGAAAAGGGGCTGATGTTTTTTTCTATGTGAATCCAAACTGAAATTAACCAGGGCACACATTTTTCCATAAAATACCATAATACCATAAAAACTCTCCTCAGATTTATTTTTTCAGTTTTAGATAGTTTTTGTTATTAAAACTAATATTACTACAGTTAGATTCCTGTTTCTTAGTTCTTTTATCATTGTCACAGTTCAGTGATATTGTTGATTATGTTTAATGTGATTACAAACATTTCTAAACTGTATCCCGTGCTTTCCAAATTTCAGGCTCTCTGAGTTTCATGTCATCTAAAAGTCTGAAAAGTAACAAAAGATCTGTTTGCCCAACAAATAGTTTCAAAATGTGGGCTCTTCTGTATTGTAATCTTTTTACATTATGTTTCATGGTAAATTATAGACATATAAGGTCTATCTCCTTCAAATGTTTGTTTTTAACATCTAATCTAAATAAGTTTTGTTTCACATATGTACAAAATATTTAGATTACCTTACCTCAATTATTTTTTTTCTGTCTTATAAAAGGTTTGTGATATGGTCTACAGTTGTCCTGAACATTTATATCTTTATTCACACTGTGATTTCCTAAAGGGGTTAGAATAACACTGATTGAAGTGATTAACACTTAAAACTGAAGACCAGCTGGCTGATTTCTGTTTTCATTAGCCATAACTCTGTTAGACAAATGGAAAGAAACAGGTCAGAAGCATAAAATAATTCTTCAAATAAATAAAGCCAATTTTCCATTTTTACTTATTAGTTCCAATCACATGCATCACTGCTTTTGATTCAAATGGTAATTTCCAGTTGATTGCGTAACTAGAGAAACCTGACATCTAATCACCACAGAATTCATTTTACAGACCCTGCAGTGTCAATGTTTTAACTCCTAGTAAACTTGCCTGAATAATCCTGGGTTTTCTCAAGAGTGCAATTACTTCAGGCTTGGCGTGGATTTGAACAGTCTTGACTTCACTGCAGTTCCCGTCGTTGGCTTCTTCCATGTTGAGGCTGATCTGAAGTCTTTTTGTTTCGTGTTTGGTGTGTGTGAGCCTTGCATCTTTGCTACATGGGTTACTAGTGTGGAGCCAGTTACAAAAGGTGATGTGTTCAGAACTTCTGTTCCTCAGGAAGGCAGAAATGGCAGTTTGAAAGAAAGTTGGATCAGAGCAATTAGATCACTTTCTTGTCAGATTACTCTCCTAAACAGTGAGGGATTGGTATTTATAAAAACTGCTTTGTCAGCTCTCAGTTTATTCATTTTTCTCTCAAGGAGGTCAGCTATTGCATGACAGTGAGCTTTAGTGAGCTACCGGAGCCACATAAGTCATTTCTTTGTGTCTGTGAAAGAACTTCTAGAAGAGTCTGTGTGCTGTAAAGCACAGTGCATATTGGGCTTTCGGCTTTTGTTTCCTGGCTGCAGAATGCGTCTCATGGTTTAGATCGCAATGCTGAGCACTTATAAGAATCATGGGAGGCTGGTATAAACCATTGAGCTTTTAAACCCAGCAAACCAGCTACGATCCCCCAAGTCTCATGCTGGATATTATGGAGTCACTAAGATGCTAGAAGTCAAGCAGGACTTCTCTTAATTTTGACCTTTTTGTTATGGTGTAAACCTGCAAATGTGTAATAGACACTTATAGTTTGCATGTCTATCCATCCATTCTGTAACCATTATCTGATACGAGATCCCAAAGGAGCGGGAGTCTAATCTGGCAAACAGTGGGCTTCAGACAGGGTACACCTGGATAGAGACACAGGGCACACAGATAGAGACAAACACACATTCAAAAATCAGACAGTTCTTCCCATAAGTCTACATTTTTTGCTTTTACAAGTTATTTCATGAAAGCTTAATTCAGGAGGATTTTTAGGTTATATATTTGTATATATATTTTATTTTGTTCAAAGAAAGTACATTTATAATATAACTGATAAATGTCCAGTATATGATAGAAACTGTATATTGAAGACAAACAAACCTTTCAAATCAACCCTGCTATATTATCAGCTATATAAAAAAACAATGGGTCTAAAACACATTCAATAGTTTTCAAGCTATTAGAGAAACCAGATATAATTTCCTAAGGCTTTGAAAACCTAGCATTTGACATTCAAACTGGGCATTAGTAGTGAAAGTTCGTGAGAGATGTGACCTTCAGACTTGCCGCAGATGGGATATTTTTAATTTTCTTTACAAATCAAGTAGAACTCATGATGTTCATAGAAAAAAAAACATGAAATATGCAAGCTATGAGAGCATTAGTCTTATTTTTCAGTCTGGTCAGAGCAGAACATTATTTTTTTTCATTATAAAAATTAATAATGAAATGGCTTGAATACAACGTACTACTATTGCACTGGACAGACACTGCAAAATTATGGAAAACCTGTGACTTTCACTTTTTACAAAACATGGAACCACAGAATATAAACTATATCGGTACAGCAGGCAAAAGCAGATGAAAATATATTCTGACAGCAAACAGCTGACGTCTTACATTTGAAGATTTCTCTTTCCTTTATCAAGCCATCCATTCTTTGTGAACCCAGTCGGGTTTATTGGACTGTAATTGTGACTCCATTCTTTGCACTATTTCCAGAGAGGAGGAAGATTGTTCCACTGCGGAACCACTGGTCCTCGTGTTAATTCTTTGTGGCAGGAAACCTCAGAAGGCAGTCCCCAGAGGGTTATGTTTTAATCTTTATGTTTTTTTAAGTGGCCCTGATCTAGGCCACTTCCCTTGGAAATCAAATTTGTATTTAAAGGGCTGGAAAAGAGGATGGCAGTCTCCTCACCTTTGGTTTAAAACGTCTTACTTTTTAAGGAGCCCGTCAAATCCTAATGAGATCAAGAGTGTCAGTGGTGTCGTTTTCTTGTGAAGGTTTTCAGATAATACCTTTGGGATAATTAAATCTGCCACTGTACAGATTTATTTTATTTTATAGGGGGTCATGCATTAATTTAGTTTTGCTAGAGATTTCGCTGTTGTGTGAAAAATCAAAAGTCCTGAAAAGGGGCTGTGGCCAATACTTATTGTGCTAAATGAAGAGTTAAAAACAGATGGAAAAATCTTTTTTAAATAGAGCATAATATCAAAAGACTTGTTCCTCCACTTTTCAAAAACTGTAAAAAAACTAACAATATGAAGGTAACATTGACCAGTACGTTGGTTAGCTGAAAGAGACCAAGCAGGTCCATCTGTGGCTAGTGATACACAAACAATTTTTTTGGAAAAAACAAATGGCTATTCTTTACTGTGACTGGCACCAAATCAATGTACAATGTTCTTTCAGTAATTTTGCATATTCTTCAATGTTTTAGGCACTAAACTGTAATTACTGTTAGCATTTTGGAGAATGCTAATCGTAAGTAAACTCTTGATTTGTACAACCCTTTCTTGCATGAAAATGTAAATGGTAAATGTTTTTGAAACGTGTGTGTGTGGAGTGGATTTCTAAATATTGAAATGGCTTACCCGAATGACAGACACTTTAGGTTCTCTTTGGATAACCTGGAGCAGTGGAGAAACCGAAATTGCAGTATTCACGTCTCTTCCATCAGCACTAATGAACTGTTATTGAAATGTGTGAGGTTATGGGATGGTGGGAAAAAAAACTCCTTTAGAAATTAGAATTTTTTATGGAGGTTTTCACTTAGGAATTGTGTGTTGTAATAGTGTGAACGGGGGAAAAGAACGAGTTTTATTCGTTTTTTTAAGTTACAGATCAAGAGGATTTTTTAATCAACATGACTGCGTGCTGTGATTCTGAGTCTTACACGGAGGTCTTTTTGTTCCTTCTGCTTTCATAACTCTGACACTCGACAGACAGTGTCAAAGGAGTTAAGGCTGAAAATAGAGAAGGCACTAAAAGAAAGATTATCTGTGGTTACCTTTCTTTCAGAATAATGTCATGTCTAATATGAAGCTCATTAACGTGCCTGCGATAATGCTGCACTTCATAGTGGATATGCCACAACACACCATTTGGAATCTGCCTAAACCCATGTTCTTCTCTTTTAAATCCAGTGCCCCAAGATCAATGCCTTGCCAATGAAAGGACCGCCCCCTCCCTGGCTGGTAGGACCTGAATGCAGAAGTATATGATATGTGTTGAAAAAATAGCACACATCACCCTGAGGAATTAATATTCTCAACAGCATTTATCTGTGGCTTCTTACATTTTGCAGAGGTGAAAAGAGGTGCAATTGTCAAAATAGGAAAGACTCCAATTTCTTTTTTGGTTGTAGTTGTTCAGAACATGTGTGATTTATATAGACAGGAGTAATTTATAGTCTAAAGGAAAAAAAATATTGGTATATGGAAAAATCGATAATCTCTTGATTTCTTGTAAAGTTATCTTTTTTAATCAAATCAAATCACACTATATCAACATAACTGTAGAATCAATCACAGGAAAACCCCACACCCTGCCAAATGTTATTAATAAAATTTTACTAAAAAAACACCTCTGAGACAGTGAAAGAGAGTTAGTGGTAAATTAGACATCGAGTTATACACAGAATATTCTGAGTTTCCTTGCTGTCACCATTGTTGGACTGCCCAAGGCAGTCTGTGTGTATATAGATCACATTGGAGTCTGCTGTACAAATACAAATAAAGATAAAAATGTGTGAAATAAAATAATCCTCCCTATACAGTTTTCAGTAACTGTTATAACATACATGTTATTCAACTGCAGTTGTTGATATCTGTTGTTTCTAATCATCATAAAAAAAGTTATACATGATCGTGCACTCAGCTATTCTTTAATATGAAATATCTTTGGAAAAATATCACATCTTTATTTGAACATTTTTTTTTAGCTGGACATGAAATATTTATCTCCTTTACTTTTGGCATACGAAGACCGTCTGAGTGAGAAAGACGAGCTCCTGCGTGTTTGTGAGGTAAGTGTTATTTCATGAGAACGAAAAACCCTTTTAATTCTCATGATTGTATTATTCCTAAATACTAAATTAAATAATTTGAGCTTCCCATATTTTAAAACAGTAGTAAAAGCAAAATCTGCATGTGTATCTAACTATGTACCTATAAAGTTATCAAATAAATGTCTGTAGGTACTGAAGGTTGAGAAGCATCTGTTATGCCCTGCTGTTTAAAAATGTTGAGCTATTTTTAGTTTTAGTGAGGCTTCTAGACTTCAGTTAACATTTCATGATTAATAACTGTAGTCAAGAACATGCTGCCTTTGTTTTCTGTTGTTCATCATTATGGGTGGCAGCTGATGCATGAGACCCGTAGTCTAGAACCCGTTACAGAACCAATAGCCTAAAAAAGCTTTGCCCGGGTCTGTTTTGGTCAACCAGGAGGAGCTGAAGACCTTCAGCACACGTGTGGGAGAGGTGGTGAGAGAGAATGAGGAGCTCCACCAGCAGCTTGAGAGGAGTGGCCCAGTCGGCCGGCACGAGTGGTGAGTGCTTTGTCTCGGCCCAAGACAGCGTGCAGTGTAAGTGCAAGGGTGATGGGCGCAACAGCTTTCAACAATCTGTCCAGTAAAAGTGCTCATGTAAGAAAGGATTCAGGATTGAACTCTGACTTTTAGTATCATTTTCCTCCATCACATTTTAAGGCTTTGCAAGATCTCTAGGTCCCACTGGATCCAATGGTGGGCTTTAGGGCACACTAGTTGGTCCTAAGAAAATGTGATATACATTACAGATCTTGATCATTTTTTACTATACTATTTAGGCACTAAAGTTTATAAGGAAACTAAAGTCACATAGTTCAGCTAGCTTGGAATATCAAGCCTAGTCATGCTTACAATATGTAATACCCTTCCTGATATTATTACATACTTATTAGTACCTGCCTTTTCAAGTAACCTAGTATATAGTTCTAGTATGTTGTATACAGGATGGTGCGGTGGCTCTGTGGCTCAGGATCTGCACCTGTGGCTGGAAGGTTGCCGGTTCGTATCCCACGGCCAGCAGAGCAATCCTACTCCATTGGGCCCCTGAGCAAGGCCCTTCACCCCAACTGCTACAGGGGCGCCATATAAATGGCTGACCCTGCGCTCTGACCCCAAGCTTCTCTCCCTGTCTGTGTGTCTCATGGAGAGTAAGTTGGAGTCTGCGAAAAAACAAATTCCTGATACAAGAAAATTGTATATGGCCAATAAACTGATCTTATCTTATCTTCTAGTGTTACTAGTTGTTATTTGAATACTGTGATATGTCGTCTGTACAACGGTACCCAAAATGCTTTGGAATTGCAGGGAACAGACATTACAACATTTTTATGTGTTCTATTCTGTTGGACCAGTGCCTGCAAAAATGTTTATTATAATGCTTAGACACATATCAAAAAGCAATGTTTCTTTAAGTGTTTTGTTCAGTTAAGGTAATCAGTATGTGTTCAGAAAGTGAAATTTGAACTAATTTAATAATATACAGTAGCAACAATTTCATTAAAATATTATAATAACTGATTGAACTTACTTTGATTTACATAGCATTTAATATTTCTTAACTGTATTCTGTATGCCCCTTTTAATTACAGTGTAATTTACACTGTCAATGGAAGTGATTGTAGGTGTGTACTACACTCTTTGCATTAATTTCTGAAAGAACCCACTTGTTCTGCCCTTGCCTTACCATATCAACCATAGCAAAATAACTTCTAGCTAGGAATATCTGTAAATATAGCACTGTCTTCCTCATTTTCCCAGTCTTAATCCTTTTGAAATATTTTATTCAAATTCAAGAAGCCAAACTACGTTTAGGCTGTTTAATTAATTTTTCTATTTCCATTCTTATTAAAGTCACTATGCGAAAAGGAACAGCTGTAGTTGCAAATGTTTAGAGATGTCATCATCATTCATAGCCTTTTCTGATTTCTGTTTACTTCTTCTGAGAATTAGATTTCTGTTGCTGTGGCCCAAACCCATGCAAATGTAAAACCTGCTGTGGAACTTGTAACTCTCCATAATGGGGAAAAAAATCATTCATTTTTATAACGGCACTCATGTACTACATTTTTATGCATTGTCTGTTACGAATGTGACCAAAGTGAAGCCCATAAATGTCAGCATATTGGTAAGAAAATGTCCACAGGAAATCTTAGTGCAAAATAAACTATTCCATTTCAGTTTGTTCCTTATGCTTCAGGATTTGTTTTCAACATTCCTTTTGACTTGCTAAAAACACTAGAACTTAAAAATTATCATGGGAAATAATAAAAATTAAAATAAAATTATATTTGTAAAAATGCATTATCACGGTAATTCAGTAATTTCAATTGCTAAATAGGCAGTGAATGAATTAAGCTTTGGGAAGAAAAAAATGGTTAACATGCATTCCAGCTCTGTGCATTACAATTACTATATATTGCATAATTCACTACTTTTCCTCCAAATTGAATGTCCTTACTCTTGATTAAAGGCTGACTGATTGCCATCTAAATCCATCTTAATGCTCACGCTGAACCTTTTAGAAGCTGTTTTTGCTTCTGCCTTATCTTTTTTGTACATATTGAATTTGATGTTGCTCAGTGGAGGCACACGATTTGAAGTAGCTTGAGTGCTGCTTACTGCTCAGATGGCTCTAATATCTATTCAGATTGGATAGTTCATTTTTATTTAATTTCTTTCTTTTTCCATATCTTTCCATATCTTTAAATCTGTTTTTGGCTTAGATAATGTTTTAAGTTACATCTATTTTTACAAAGACAGTTTTCCACCAAGATTCCTCAGTGCTGAGGATTTGGATGAGAATGAGGATGTGTTGTGGGGAAGTATGTAAGTAAGGCACATTTTGAAGTGTACAGTATTTCTCCAGTGGACCTCGGAGTATTGAGCAGTGCTAATTTGCTTTGTGTAAGCCACCTTTCTCACAGTTACCTTGGAGTAGAAGCTACACACTCATTTCCTGAACAAGCAACATTGTGTTTTTTAATTTTGTTCCATTTAAGTTAATGGTTATTTAATTAGTCCAATTTTTAAAATAATTCTAATGTTTTTTTACTACACCCCACTATGCATTCTAGTTCTAAAGAAGTCTTCGAATTCATTAGCTTGTGATGCTGCAGGAGGCACAATCATCACATGGCCTGAAAAATAGATGATTCTGCACACAGCCACACCCAGAGAAAGGCTGACAATCTGAAAGTGTTTATTTATAAACAAGAAATAAAATTAACCTGCCTCTTATTTGCGCTCCTAACTGGCTTTGTTTCCCTAACTAAACACTGGACAGCTACTGTGCTACTGGTGTGTTTAGTTGTCTTCTTTAATATTCCGAAAAAGCCATTTTGGAAGAAAAATAGAAAAAGAATGGCTGTTCCATACTCGCAGCCCTTGGCCTTAGCAATGTTCGCTCCACAATTCAGCTTCCCCCTCCAGTCTTTGGTCTGCACAGATAAAGGAGCAATCCCTTTGTATCCTTGATTCAGCAGTCTTTTCTCACCCTGCATTTCTTCCCTAGATAGCAGATACGCTTTCTACCAGCTGAGTAGTTGATTTATACAGGCTGTAACAGGGCATACAGCTAATCCCTCCAAGGCCAATGGCATTGTGAGTGCTGGCAATCTCTCACGGCAATCTTGGTACATGCAAACCTATTGGTAAACTGGATGACACTTCGGGGAAAGTACCCTCCTTCGAGGATTACACCCCTCATGGCATCACAAGATGAACACAACCTTGAACAGATTCAGTTGAACTAACAATTTACATGAATGAAGTCATGGGAAACTTACTGAACCCAATATTCGTTGTGGGTCTCAAGGACTGATCCTTAAAGAAGATATCTTAGAAGGTTTTTATTCTTTTCTAATCAATACAGTTGCCATGTGAGCAGAAATCTCACATAATCACACTCAACAACTATACTCATCAGGATATGGAGGATGAAATGTTATTACTCATGATGTGAAGCTTCTTTAAACTTTCCCTTTATCATTGATTGATTGTGAAATACATGCATAGCACAGAACCATGAAGCTCAAGGACAACCAAACAAGACGAGAGTGTTATCTCCTGCTCCAGATCTTTTTCTGCTGTTCCTGTGCTTGTGCAAGTACAGTAGCACCCCCTGTTATTGCTGTTTATGTATTTCAGGCATCAGCTGCAAGATCAGGCAAAATTGGTACTGGAGGAAAATCAAGTGCTGATGGAACAGCTTGACATACAGCAGGCTAAAGCCAAGGAAACCCACAATCTCCACATTAACGAAGGCATGATTGCTGTTTTTTCTCTTTTTCACTGCAGTGATCTCCATTTTAATTATATCAATTTACATTTTAAGGTAAATAAATTGCTGCACTGTCAAATAAGCCACAGATTTGCTTTGTGTGAGCACTGTTAACGCAAAGAAATTGGGTCCAAAAAATGAGTTGTTTTTTTTGCTCTTGTGCTCTCAATTCTGGAAGTCAACAATTTACTGCTAAGGAGGTGGCAAGCATGCAGTATAAAGACCATACTGTTGAAATGACTTGCTCTGTCTCCGCAGTCTCCAGACTTACCAAAGAGCTAATGCTGTTGGAGTCAGAGAAGCAGAGGCTGCAGGAGGAGCTGTCCAAGTCAGACAAGCAGCTCCAAGCATTGCAGGCCCAACACAGGGAAGCCCGCAGCAACCTGGACACTGCAGTGAGCTGGGAGGAGCACTCCATCGCCATTAACAAACTCAAAAAGTACAGTTTTCTGTCCCCTAGAGATCATGAATGCTTTTGGTTAATATGGAGTCTAATTTATTGCTTTTTCCCCAGGTTTACTATATATCTGTTCAACATTTAATGTATCTGAAGATATCTGTTCATGATATATCCGTATTAATGAAATCAGTTATTCCTGAAAGACGGGCTTTTGTTTTTAATCTGTTATATTTGGTACCGTAATATTTTTTTGTAATGTCATCTCATTTTTTCTTAAGAAATGAGAAATTTCATCATTGTTGATTTTAAAATCAAGCAATTTTTAAAAACGTAGTGTAGCAGCTTACAACCAATTTCTCATTTTAAGATTTTCTGCTCACAGAACACTGTATTAGAAGACATTTTGAAAGATTCAATGGACTGTAAATACTAACTCATAGAAGATAATGTCATCTCACAGTGTAGGGTGAACATTATATATAGATTTATGGTTTCAAACCTCTAATGGCTGCATTTTTGCAGATAATTTTAAAAAGCCTATAATAAGCCTTTTCATTTTTGTTCTACGATAAGATTCTATCTTTCCAACTATAATTTTGACACTTTGAGAATCTGCTTCACTGACATTTACCTGTGGACAGTGGGAGTCACTTAAATCAAGCTTCACTTCAGTAAGCTGACAAGCTATCTATAATCAGTTGATCCAGAAAGCTTATTTTTGTATATCCCATGAAATCCTTTAATATAGATAGGGCATCATGCTATCATGGTACTGATTTCTCACTTATATCATTCCCACTTCTAAAACACAACATTATAGGTCACATGGAAGGATTTGTGTGATTTTCTGAGCTATTCATAGTGTTTTGATATTCCAATATAATTGTTATTATGGTTTACAATCCATTGTCCAGACACAGATAATGTTTCAAGACATCAAAATCACAGTGATTAAACTGTGGCATTTTTTACATCTTGTTTAAGACAATTACAACAAGAGGAAGAGAAGAAGAAGGCCGAAATTGAAGAGCTGATGGGTCCAATTGCGTCCCTCCAAGCAGAGAAGAAAACCTTGCTTTTGGAAAATAAGAGCCTTAGTGCTGAAAAAAAGACCTTAGAGGCAGAGCTTGAAATATCACAGAAATCCAACAGGTACTTACCAACCCTTACAAGTACTGTTTTGTAACATGTTATGTTTGATACAAAAGATGTAACTGTGAAAAATATGGGAACAGAATTTTAAATTTATAATGCTCTTATGAGGCATGGGGTTTGGCTATTAGCATGACTGCCTCACAGCTTTTGGGGTTCAGTTTCAGATGGGTGTCTATTATGTGGAGTTTGCATATTCTCCCATATTTACATGGGTTATTTCTGGGCGTTCCCGTTTCCTTCTTTTTCCCCAGACATGTCTACATTGTGGAATGTATGGTAGTGCCTCACACAATCTAGACACGCTCAGTTCGTGGTGTTCAGGTAGTGGTTCAGTTCTTCCCTGGGTGCAGTTCCGGACCTGGGGGGGTTTCTTTGTGGGGTTTGCATGTTCTTCCCATGTTCATGTGGGTTTCCCCTGGGTGATCCTGTTTCACCCCACACTGCAAATGCTGGCGGGTTAATTGGCTGCTTGGACAATTGGCACGGGTGAGTGAGTGTGTGTTATTGTCTGTCTGCCCTTGATGTACTGGTGTCCTGTCCAGGGTATATTCCACCTTGTGCCCATTGCTTGCTGGGGTAGGCTCCAGCTCCCCCACAACCCTGAATTTAAAGAAGCAGTAAGAAAATGGATGGATTAATAAGACCAGATATACAGTACTATTTTAATTACCCATCTACCAAAGCATTCAACTGTGTCCAACCGGGAGACATGAACAGAAGGTAAATCTCCAGAGCATCACATACTTGATTTGAGCAAATTAATTTTTTGTGAAGGACTGTTTGATGAACAAATGATGTTTTTTCCTACATCTTTAATCTTCAGTAGCTATGTGTGCTTAAAGAGGAACTGCAACGGTATTTTAATATTTCGGGGGTTAAGAAAGAATCGGCATTGATGAGTGCATTTCAAACCGCAGTGAAAGTAAAACATCAATGTAAAATCATGGTCATGGTCATGACAAGACCAGCAATTTGCAACCACTTGGCGACCGTACAGTACCTTAACAGAGTCAATGATTTTGTGCTTAATTCAGAATTTGTAAAATTTTGTGATTATTTTGTTCCTGAGGTGTAATAACCAGTCTGAGAAATTGGAACTGCAGTTCCCCTTTAAAACATACTTCTGCTTCCACTAGGCATAATAGTACACATTCTTCTTGGGTCCAGTCCCTGTGAACCGATCCTCTGTAATCCTGAATCCTCAGCAGACTCTTAAAAGACTGATATACCTGGCAGAGACCAACTTCAGATTTCCAAAGATCTTGTCTCCTTCTTCTTCAGGAAAGCACAGAAGAAGATCAGGCTGTTGAAGCAGCAGGTCGAGGAGGCCATGGACAGAGAGCTGGCAGCAAACCAATACCTGGCCAGCATCATCTCCCTAGCGGAGCGAACCACGCAGGAGAGAGACCAGCTCATGCACATGGTACTTTACACACACCTCTCCCAATGCGCACATCCACAGTGCACAGGCAAGGTGGAGCAAAGTGGCAGAAAAGGCAATTTCACTGACCACCCACACACTGTGCCGAATTTTTTTGCTTTCCATGGGCTTCTCATTAATTAATTCTCTCATTATTATTGGTTTGTTTAAATTGGAAATTTCTTGCAAATTTGGAAATCCATATACTGTACATTGTGGTGTTATATCCTAGAACTGCCATGATACGATGTGGTACTAGGAGAGCTCTGTGCTATGGGAAGCTTTAAGGGACCTTGTCCCAGTTTGAACATCTGACAGTTTGCTGGGGGTTTAAGATAACTAGATGGATCTCCTCCCTTTAAAAAGGAAAAGGTTTGTGGGAATACCCTTTACCCCTCCCGAAATGAAGAATTAATCCCCCTTTTGGCCATGCCCCCAGCTCCCCCCCTCCCCAAAAAAAGAAAATGAGTGAGGGGAATTCCCTGGATTTTGCACAAGTGCCCGTTATCAAATTATGTTATCCCTCTCTTGCAATATATCCAGGCACCTACCCTGTACTAATCACACACACTGTAAGTGAAGGATAGTTCCAACATTGGAAACCCATCAGGCATTCCAAATCACCCATTGGAAACTTCATCAACTGTGATGAGAGCCACAGGACATTCTACAATCAAATAGATTTTAGATCATTCTGATATGTCACACACAAAAACAAGAACCAAGTAAGCTCATCAGTTTTGACTGTGAAAAGAAAAGCTTTGACAGAGGCAAACAAACATGGGAATTATTTATTTGCTTCTCCAAGCCCAATTTTATTTACTTTTGTGTTTGTTTTCTGGTTTTTGATAGAAAAGTTAATCTAATATATGGCTGGTAAGATCTCAATTGATGAGGCAGATAGATCCCAATTTATGTTCCCCAGCAATGCATCCAGTGGCATTTCATCAGTCTTTCTGACACATTTTGCTTGCAACACATTTGTGGTGGCTCTTATTTTGAGTGAAAACATAATGGAAGAAAGTAAGAGCTTTCATTGTTATTTGTTACATTAAAAGTAACATTAATCTTCTTTAGCCTGTGAAGGAAATCATATTAGTTGACAGAGCACACTAGTTGCAACCCTTTATAAAAAAGTCTTTAAAGGGTCTGGCATTTGTTGTTGTGCAGCCATAACACCTGGACTTTATTAAAAAATACTCGTATCTTATGCCAAAGAAAAATCAATGAAAGAAAAATATGATCATTTCGCATCAGAAGCTTTTTTTTTCCTGAAAAAAATTGGGAAGGGTGAAGATTAGATTATTTTAACACTTGAAATGATTTGCAAGCCCCCCAGAAAATGACTATCCCTCATGTGGCTCGGTCAGTGTCGTCATGAAAAGGAAACAGTTCTGGGGAGGTGCTGAAACCGGAGATCGGTTGCTTTGCTATCATAAAGCAGGCAGCATGAAAACAGATGCCTGTACATTGGTGCAGAACTATTCAAGAGAAAAAAAACATGGGTGATATGTGAGGGTGTCATTATGAAAGGGAGTGGCAGTACAATCAGTGATGACTTTGTACTCATATGCTTTTGCATTTGGACATTGAAAGATATTCAACTAAATGCTTTTTCAACATGGACACGACTCCTACTCAGTTTTTGTTTCTAAGCAAGATCCTGACTTAATTGTTTTAAATTTCTCAGGTTAGATGTAGTGTTCCGTGAAAAACTGCAGAAACAATAAACTTAAGTTTATTGAATAGAAATTGCATACAGCTTCCTTGCAGTTTATAATACTGTGAAAGTATAGTCTGTAAGCTTTTTTCAGCTTCACATTTAATCAGAATTTAACTCAATCAGCAATTACCGTAATTGAAGGTTCAAGAGGTAACGCAATTAAACATTTAAAGTGGGAAGGCATTTTCTATACACCTTTCATAATATCGCCATTTCGCCTCCTTTCCATAGCTTTTTATTGCCTTTTCTAGCACATTTACTGCAATTGTCATTTTTAAAGCCTTCTGGCTGTGTGAGTCACAGCTATATAATTTTCACGAGATTGCTTATTACAGAAACATTGGAAAATGTTCTTTTAGGTCTTTAGAAAACTGCTCACAGCATCGAATACAGGCTGCTAGTCATTGTTTTATGTAGAAGCTTCTCTTTTACAAGCCTCAAGACAAGACCCGTTTTTCTTGATAACGTATTACTGGAGGATTTGTAGATTGGAAGGCGTTCTTGATTTATACGGTAACTCTACTAGTTATCTAGATTTCTTAAATGTCCTGTTTTAGTAAATGTAGAATCTGTGCCTGCTTGTGAGGAAGAAGTGTGTCTGATGAACTGAATGTGGTAGCTTGTGGGTGATCTAAGAGAGACGGGTCTAATCTGCAGTATCAGATGTTCACATATTAATGCAAGATGCAGAAGGCTTTGGACTGTTACCTTTAAACTCCATTTAGGTTGTGTGTCACAAATACCCCCTAAAAATTCATCTTTCCATTTTAGTTAGAACTTGGCCTAATACATTATATTATATGCTAGTATATTCTATATATACATGATGTTTATATTTGATAAAACCTGAACATTTTATTAACGTTTGAAGAGGAAAACGCTAAACAGGTTAAGGTTAAGTTCAAAGTATGAGTCTGAGGATTTTAACTGTGAATGAAATATTTGAAAAACTTAAAAAAAAGAAAAGATTAGTTTGGCAAGTGTACATGAAACTTATTAGTTCATGACAAATCATGTCATTCTTTTTATTGACATTCATTACTTGTCTCAGTAATATCCTGATTTTGTTTCAGCTGCCTGAGAACAAAGAAAAATAAGAATTAATTTAAGTTTCCCATTGTGATTCCCATTGTGACTGGGTAATTTGGCTCTGTACCTCCCAGCAGTAAATCCTCTTCCTGCTGTGGAGCATGATGACAAAAGAGATACTTTAGAGCAGCAGGAGTAGACACCCTCCTACAGACCTCAGGTCCTGAGCAGGATTTACTGATTGGTCTTCATTAGAAGACTTAGACTTAAAAGAACTTTATCCTAATACAGTGATGGCTGTTTTCATGGTCTTTCTAGGATCAGTGCTCAGGGTAGGTTTCTCAGAAATGATCCAGATCTTCTAATGTGGGGGGGGGGGTGCTACAAAATTGAAGTTTTGGGGTATATGTTTCTCAAGGACGTGCCTCGTGCAGCGCTTTGTTGATGATGGGCAGCCTTAAAATGAATATGTATTATTCTGACCACTCTAATCTCTCCATCTGTGTTCTCAAAGACGGTTTTCCGAACTCATACATCAGAAAGACCACCGAAACCAAAATTATTCTGCAGCTAGGATCACACATTCTCCCTTCCCTTAACGACAGACTACTGTTCTTTTAAATTTTCTCCATTCATTGGAAGTTTCATTTCACACCTCTCTGCACCCATTCTGACTTCACACCTCTTGATTGGCCTCTCTTTCTGTCCCCTGCTCCCGCCTCTCACTCCTCCTCCCTCCCAACCTTTGTTCTCCCGCTACTTTACCTTTGCCTACTGCCCTGTCTCTCTCACACCTGAAGAAGGCTCCACGGCCGAAACGTTGTGTTCTCTTTCTTCTTTTTTTCAGCATGGAATAAACCTATTACTTGTTCTTTCATTGCTCCCAGGTGATGGTTTAGTCCATTAATGTCATGTCAGGGCTCTTTGCTGGCGAGTAAAATGAAAATCTAAAAACTAAAATACAGGCACAAGTTACATGTTTCCCTTTGATTTTTTTTTACCTTCAAGTCAGTGAGGTGTGTAAGATTTGATATCATCTTGCTTTTCTTTAGTTTCATATGTCAGAGGGATAGCCAAAATGCTGGAATTTCAAATTCCATTCGTTTTTGAGGACTTTGGTAAAACGAGATAATCAATCAATTACTTAATTTAATTTACTTTATTAGGGAGGTGGTTGAATCAAGGTATAATCCTGTTTTGTATTATTTAACTCGGAAGGGCTTACCTTATATCAGTGAAGACACTGAGGAAATAGCTGGAAAAATGAAATAATTATTTTCAATTCTTTAGTGTTCTCATTGCCTGCATCACCTGATTCTTTCTTTTAGCTGCTGGAAATGGGCCTGTTTGGTCTGCTGATAGTGTCTAGGTATCTGGTCCAAAGGGCCTGCTTAATGGCTGCAGTCTTCACATCAGTATTCAAGGAACAGTGAAAAAGCACATTTGTCTCTTTGAACTTCTAGCTTCTGCTTTCTGAAAATTACAAAGCAGAGTGTGAACAGAAGAAAGGTTATCACTGAACCTAAGTGAAATAGCCACTGTTTCCATGGTTAAAATTTTAGATCTAATGGCAGTAATTTAAAACCAGAAAAATATATTGTGGCATAACTAAGTCGTGACAGCTGCTGTAGAAATGGGAACACAAGATCAAAACAAGTGTGAAACAGTTAATAAAATGTACTGTAGCTTACCCTGACCACAGACTCAAGTCAAATTCAATTAATAAAATTGCTTACATTAAAAATCTGCATAAAATTGTATAATTGCCACCCTTAGAGTAGAAAAATACCAAGTGTTATTTACAGTACAGCACATGTTCATTACTTCTCTCGTAAACTTTGGTAATTAAGTATTTATTAAATGGTAAGCTTAACAGGACAGACATATTTATTACAATAATTTAAACAAATGCACTACATGTACTATTTACACTACTATATACAGAGATTTACAAATCTGAGATCTGAGACACTACCAGAAATTGATACCAAAAGCGCTTCAAAAGATCAAAGAGATTTAAGGGTTAATTGGCTTCTGGGAAAACGGGCCCTGGTGTCCCATCCAGGCTGTATCTGGCCTTGTGGCTATTGTTCTGGCTCCCCTGAGACCCGGCACTGGATAATGCAGTTAGAAAATAGATGGGAGAACCATAATAATATACTTTAGTGAGCACCATCTAGGGAGCCATGTCATGTGATATCAGCAGGTGTGAAGAAGGATGATGTTTACCCTGTTAACCCTTTGTCTTTTCATTTCTTTTTCCACTTTACCTTCAACTCCCAGGTCCGTAACCCTTCCTCTGCCCTTTCTATCACAGGCATCCACTCTGGAGCAGGACAAGAATGGCGTGTTGAACCGGATTATAGAGGGCACAGTTCGACTGGGAAAGATGCAAGAAAAAGTCAGGGTAAGTCTGCTTCACAGACCAGTAGTAAGCTGCAGTCCAGCTTGATTCAAATCTGCTGATGACTTTGTAATGTCCTGACATTAATTAAGTAGCCTGGGAGATATTTGCAGCTGATATGATAAATAACCTAATTTAAGAAGCTCTGGAGACAATAGCTGCCTGACAGAGTTTACCTGATATTGATCGCGAGTATGTGATGTCAGCTGGGGAGACATTATTTTGTGATTAACCAGAGGTGATGCCAAGGTGTACAGGCAACAATCCCAGTCCAGGAAAACTACTTTGGTTGGCAGTTCAAAGTAATTGAATCAAGTACATTTTACAATAAAGAGAAAGTCAACATTTTCTAGGAACAGTCTGCACATTTGTAGCTGTCTGAGCTTTGTGGGAAGAAAGCTGTCAAAGCACTGTCCAATACTATTTCTTTGATGTGTCTGTGAAGAAATTGCATTATTGTTGAGTAATTAGTTTGTTCTACTTAAGCAGATTTAGGTTTGTGCTAAAAAGTTGTTTTCTAAAGCTCTGCTGTCTTACGACATGCCAATTCCCTTTTTGCATGCATGAGGATAATTAAAATAGTTCAGGAATCATTCTGGGTCTTGAATAATTACTGTAAATTGAGGGAGGTTTAGGTTATGGTTTGGGTTAATGTGAACAGTGTGTCTGTAGATGCTTTATTATCTTTCTGCAGAACCTATGTTTATAGTAAATTAATCTTTAATGGAACATATGTATTATTTACTTATCTTAATGTGTCACCTTAATTAACACCAGGGTTTGCATTCTTAATCTGGTATTTTGTCTGATGCACACTTTTACTGTCTTACTGTCTGTCTTGACTTTCTCCATTTAAAAAAAAACTACTTCTGTCCCACAAACATCTAAAAAGCATCCTTCTGTTATCATAACATGCCAGTGGTGGCTGGAACAGGTCGAGAATAGGGTGTTGAACGGAAGTGTCAAGGGCACCAGAAATATAACATTTATTTTTTGTATTTGCTCTTTACTGCAAATTCTGTCCACTTCTCTATATTGTTAACTGAAAAATAGGCTTTGGGATAATGTTCAAGTATTTTTACTCTGATAAATCAGAAAATCAGATTTTGGTGTGATAAAGCTAATCCTTGTTTGGTAATCCAGATTCACATGCAGGAAACTGGCTGACTCACTTGACACTATTGTCTTAACTACAATTGAAATGATAGTCTTATCTGTTAAACTGACACGGAGCTGACAGTCTGGAACGAGATGAACCCATTAAGAAAGCATAGGCCACCATTTATTGTGAGTCAGTTTCATATTTACAGTTTAAACGTTTTCAGTATTTTTGGAAAAACAACAACAGTGATTAAGCCGTACAAATTCCTCTGTTAGAGAATGGTAGGTTTCTTAATGGAAGTTTTTGAATAAAACAAAGAGAACAAATGAAGAGACTGAACTCTTGCATTCTTGACCTGGACACTTCTGATTAATGGATGCAATGCAATGGTTTACAGTTATCTTTTACAGTTATCTGCGAGTTTGTGATATTCCATTGTTGTATATAAACATTGCGTGAGGCCATCCATCCATTGTCAGTCATGGCTGTGTCCTAAGAGCTCACGGCAAGCTGCAGGGGCCAGATCTACATCCTGGATGGGATACCATCCCAGTGCAGAGCACACATTTGTTCACGCACGCATATAGGGGGGAATTCAGAAACAGCAGAATGTGTTTGGACTGTATGTGGAAACAACCGGAGATCACGCACATGGACATGCAGAGAGCACATACATAACAAACCCCACACAGGGGAGCTAACCCAGAGCCCAAGAGCTGTAAGACAGCAGTGTTAATTCCCACCTATACCACCCTTAAGTGTTAATCATCTTGGATAAATGCATCACCTAAACTAACAACCTCCACTATTCAGTGTCCCTTTCAAGTGCTCTAATAGTTTAATATTCATCAGGTTTGATGGAGTCCGCTAGCAGGATCTCTACCTATATAGTGGAAGGAGCTGTGAAATCATGCTGAATTCAGATGCTAAACTCTAACCTTCACGCTTGCTTGAGC